GCCTGAGCTGCACACCAAGGAGCAGATCCTGGAGCTGCTGGTGCTGGAGCAGTTCCTCACCATCCTGCCCCGAGAGTTCTACACCTGGATCCGAGATCACAGCCCAGACAGCGGCAAGGCTCTGGTGGCCATGGTGGAGGACCTGATGGAGAGCACACCTGAGGCCAAGGCGGTGGGTGAGAAGAGGGTGTCCAGGCCTTGCACGGTTGGTGTGGGAATCAAAATGGAGAGCTTAAGGAAGTGTTGGGAGTGGATGGGACATAGAGCCTGCTCCATCATCCCCCAGCCCCCAAGGGCCTTTCTGGAGAGTGGCTGCAATTTTAGCAAGAAGAGTCGGGGTGAAGAGATGGCTCATGGGTGAAGCGCTCCACGCAAGCCTGAGAATCCAGGTTCGGATCTCCAGGACCCATGGAAAAGCCACATAGGCCGTGAGCATGTGTAATCCCAGTGGTGAGGTGGCAGACAGAGAAAAGAGAGCCCCGTAAGTTTGCAGGTCCAGGTAGCCAGGCATCCTCAGCAGTGATCAGCAGGAGTCCCTGGTATAAGGTGAGAACCAGCACTGGAAGGTAGGCTCTGATCTCCACACATGTCCGTACTCACACATAGGAGCGCGAGCGCGCGCACACGCGCGCACACACATATCATATACACGTGTAGAAGACTTTTTTTAAGAGCTATCTCTAGGGAAGATATCCATGGGCAGGAGGGCACATTGCCTCTCGATATGGGCATCAGGGACCCCCTGGTGAGCCTCAAATCCAACGAAAGCAGTTTTGATTATTTTCCGGGTCCACTGTGAGCTCTGCATGCTCTTGGGGAAGAGGCTAATGCCTGTCCTCCTGCCGGTGGCAACTGGGATTCAGGCACAAGCCTACTCTGTCACCCTGGGATTCCTTACTCACCTTTAGGAATCTCCGCTCAGGCTGACCAGAGTTGGGCTTCACTTTGTTACAGAAAGGAGTTTTAGGAGGAGCGGAGTGAGGTGTATCGCAAGACAGTTTTAGGGGTTCAGTGGATGAAGCATCTGCTATGAAAGGATGAGGACTGGAGTTGGGTTTCCAGCTCCCACACAAATGCTGGGTAGGCATGATGGTCCACCTGTAATCCACTCAGGAGATGGAGTCGGCATCCTCTGAGTGAGCTGGCTCGGTGGACGGTGAAATCAGCAAGCAAGAAATCAGGTGACAGGCTTGGCCTAATCACATAAGGCCCAGAGTGATAAAGGAAGACACTGAGGTCACCCATTGTCCTCTACATATGCATGCACATGCATCCACACACATGCACAGATACCACACATACCTATGCCAAAAAAAAAAAAAGACATTTTAAATATCTTTACATTTTTTATTTTATAAGCTGGGCAGTGGTGGCACATGCCTTTAATCCCAGCCTGGTCTACAGAGCGAGTTCCAAAACAGGTTCCAAAGCTACAGAGAAACCCTATCTCAAAAAATAAAAAAAAAAATTATTTTATTTTATATGTGTGGGTGTTTTGCCTGCAAGTATATCTGCAGCATGTGCATGCAGTGCCTCTGGAATCCAGATCCCCTAAAACTAGAGTTAGAGCTAGTTAGTAGCTGCCTTGTGGGTTCTGCAAATTGAGCCAGGGTCCTCTGGAAGAGCAATCAGTGCTCTTAGGTGCCATCTCTCCTTAAATAAATACCGTAAGGCCAGGAGTTAATAGAGAAGTGCTCACATTTTGGCTCACAGTTTGTTGGGAAAGTGTGGTGGCAAGAGCGTGAGACAACTGCACATACATCCACCTTCAGGAAGCAGTGTGAATGCTGGTGCTCAGCTCACTTTCTCCTTTTTGTTTCAAAGATGGAAACATTTGCTTCTTTTTATTGAGTCTCTGTGTTAGCGCGTGCACATGTATTCAGGTACCCACAGAAGACAGTGAATCCCCTGGACTGGAGCTGCAGGTGGTTGTGAGCTGCTGGTGTGAGCACTAGAAACCAAGCTGAGGTCTCTGCGCGAGCAGTGTGGGCTCTCAGGTGCCGAGCTCTCCAGCCCCCACTTTCTCCTTTGACTCTTTGTGGGACGTCAGCCATGGGATAGTGCCACCTGGGTTCAGGCGGGGCTTCCCACCCCAGTTAACCAGATCTAGACACATGTCCTCACAGGTATGCCTAGAGGTCTCACAGGTGACCCCTCAGGTAACAAATCT